GCAGATGTGGTAAGCCTGCTTCAAAATACTGATGGGCCTATACTCTCATAGCCTAATAAACTGTTAGTTAATGGGGAAAAGTGGTGGGTGGCACCGTTTTTTCAGGTTCAGACTAAACCCTAAACCCTCCCATTGTATTTTATTTTTCGCATTAAGGTATTGTTTCGAGACTACCAGTAAATCAGTAATATCTGTTGTACACACCCAATTTCATTTAAGGTGATAAAGGACTGGTATAAGAATTTTCCACAATGATATGAGTAGAGCTGACGTTTCCATTGCATTTCACATAGCCTTGCTTTCCCAAAAGTTGTTCTTATCCAGGGCCTTAGTTCATATCGTTGTAGTTTCACCTCTCATTCCGACTTAATAGTGGGTTGTCATGGGCAGCAGATATTAAGTGGTTTATGTTGGGTGAAGTTGAATTCCAAGTAGAGGAGACAATTTGGATCAAAAGGCCGTACAGATGTGATGCAAAACTGATTTTGAAAGTGTTTATACCTCAATAAGACCACTTGAAAAAACATAAAAATTTAATATACTGGAAAGGAGCTAGGAAAATTGGCAATATGAGAGGTAACTCAAGGATAGAGCTATGACGCAATGAACTAGGATAAGCAAGAAAACATAAAAATTTCGGCTAAATCTCTGAGTCTATACCATCCCAATGGTGCAATGGTAGAAATTATCATGATTACTATGACCAAGGACACAACACTGGGTAGATTATGTAAGGTCTCCCCGTCACCAAAACAAAGTTGTTTAAACGAGGTCAAACAGAGTATTTAGTAAGGACTGTTTTAATCACTGTTGCAATACAATGCAACTTCTTAAATCACAGATAATATGCGGTGGCCGCTTTATACTCTATAATTTAGGAAATAACTGGGGAGATAAAAATGACGAAAATGCATAATAAAATTACAGAAAATATTTTTTTTATTTAAGCATTTACCAGGGCCTGCAACCCTCGTCGCACTTTCTGTGGATAGCGCCCCACATATGGTGACATTTTTGATGTTCTTTCAGGTTTGTTTATCGATGAATTAAATACTTCCCGGACTATTGGACCTTCTACACGCATGTTAGACCTGCGAAGGCCTATAATTTTGAGCCAAGCAAGATTTCCAGCGATGCGGCCGCTGTTTTCGGGTACATCAGCCCTTTTGACACCACTCAAGTCCGATTTCAAGAAGAACTCAGGTTCTTGAATCTTGAACAGAGGATATCCGCGCACATGACAGCTGATGTTGACAGTGCCGTCGACGACAAAGTGTGACGACCCGTGAATATTGACAGAGACGGTGGGCCTCGAGTTCACTCGCAAGTATCCCAGTCGGCTGACCTCAGCAGCTTGATTCCACGCTTTGCAGCGGTAAGCACCGTGATGGGATTGAGTAGCGCCTAAATATAACATTTTGGAATGAACATATGATTTCCTCTTTAGTGCTAAAATTTTGAGTGACCTATCAACCTGTCCATACTTTTTATCGGCTATTGGATAATTTTGGCGAGAAAATACGTTTATTTAAGCACATTCGATTAATTTGCAATTTCCAACCTTTAAAGATAATTCTTA